TCATCACCTCCCAGAAGAACACTCTTAAACACCGTGACTCTGTGCGGCCTTCTAGTGTTTTGGCGGCCACTTTTAATTTTGCTGTCATTTGCTTTTGCTGCATTTTTGTGTGTGCGGGTGTGTGTGTGTCGGTGTGTCTGTGTTTGAGTGCTTGTGTTGTCTGTGTCATAAGGGTATTTGGGGATGAGGTGTTTAAGAATATGTACGGAGTATGGAGTGTAATATGGTGGTTTTGGAGCTTAATTAGGGCTACGACTGAATGCATTCTACAGGGGATCAGCTGTCAAAAGAACCATTAAAGGGGGTTAATGGCATGTTTCAGTCCAGGGAGGAAGTTGGGGAAAGGACAGGAATATAATGTTGTGATTATCGGGTGAAGAATGATGGGGAGTAGGCAGTCGGGTCTGAGTGAAAGATGCATGTGTGTGTGTCTGTGTGTGTGTGCGTGTGTATTTGTCTGCGTTTGGCATGTGCAGATGTGGAGTGTATATAATTTTATGCATTCTGTTGCTGGGCTGACCGATTTGAGTTTAATGACAGAATTGTTTCCATCGTACATTAGCTACATAAATTGATAGTGTTTGGAGGAGAAAGGGATTATGGGTGACCCAGGAGTGAGGACCTCCCCTCCCATAAGGGCAAAACTGATCGCGCAGGATGAACGATCCAGTACAGTTCTGCTGCTCGTTAAGCAATCTAATCTACCCTGATGTGTTCTAGGGACCGACGAGCAAGTCGTGGTAAAATAACTGGATGCCATCCTCAATCTGGACTTTAATTTGTTTGCATAACTAAACTTCCTGCAAAAGAAAGTGATTCACTTGGGCCTTGTCTCTGACTGAACAGGTTTAGTGTATTATATTATTGAACACAGGGTATATGTGGAGGGACTCCTTTATGTACAGATTTATAAATGAGGTACGTGAGTGAAAACGCCAGCGTTTTCCAGCCAGAAGATTGTAACCTTTCTCTCATTCTCTCTCGCTCAGTGTTCGCACACATTTCAGCTCATGAGTTTGACTTGCCTCAGTGCTTGAATTCTGCCTCATTGTTCTTTCCCACCAGTGCCTCAGGGGGGCGACCTTGCAACGTCATAGTGCCTTTTTCACAACTATTTTAACCTCGAAAAAAAATGTAGGTACTAATGCTGCGTTCGATTTGTACTGGGCAGTCAGGATTTCCAAGCTCCCAGTCGGAAATTTCTATTTAAACGCCCCCTGAAGTCGGATTTCCAACTCGGAAAGTCGGAGATTCCTCACCTACCCCGAGTTCCGAGTTCAAGCTGGCTGCACCGTAAATCAACAGTAAGCGAAAGCTGTAATAATAAACCATATATTTGCAATTCTGTGTTATTCGCGTTTCATCAAATCAGTCGTACACACAGTACTGAATCGAGCTTACCGGTGGACTTATTGCTACGGTGTTTGCACGCGAAAAAATGCTATCCTGCCAGAGGACACCCCACTGACCTCAAGCCCGTTTTTCGACTTACTTAATAGAACGCAGTCAGCTCGGGTATGACGTTATTCCCAGCCCCGACTTCCTACTTCCCAGCCAAATGGAACGCAGCATAATGGTGGTACTTTGCATGCTATTTGGTGGACAATAGTTGAGCCTCAGCACATGCCAGTGTGAGCTCCTCCCTGATTGAGAAGGAAGCGATGTAAATACTGTAGCAAGCTGCCTTTATATCTGACCGCTTGTAAGTTTATACTTGTCTCATTGCTTTAGATGACTGACCAGCTCAAAAGCACCATTGGCATCATGTCCAAACACCTGAAAATCCTGTAAAAACAAACCGTTTTACATCAAATAGCTCTTGTACAGTAAATTATTTACCTGCATGATCTATTTTTGCAAAGGGCTTCTGCAAACATGCCTTCAAAGATAATTTCCATAAGTATCTAAAATACAGTATTGAAACAGAATATATGTTTATATATATATATACAGATTGAAAAAGCATTTTTAATAAAATGAAAGTTAGTTTCTTTATAAAAGTATCCAGGTTTTACATATTTTAAAATGGCATTTGTATTTTCTTAAAGGCCTCTGTTCTGTTTTTATCCTGTTTGGAAATAAGGTAATTGACAACCAACTAGAGAAATTGGTTTTATAAGGATGTTTGAGGTAATGCTGGCGTGCGTCGGCTTGCTCCCAAGTGCGTGGACTGGCCATAGAAGTTCTGTGGAATACCATTGAACTTCATACAAGTGAAGCTGGCCAGCCCTTTGACTAATGACTCAATTTGCTATTGATGTAGAAAGAGAAAAGGAAATTATTCTGAGTGGAATGAACAGAGATTTCTGGTACAAATTGTGTACAGACAATGTATTAAAGGGTGCTCAGATGTGTGCTTACCCAAAGAACCCCCCCCTGAATGAGAAATTGAATATATACTGAAATACGGCATCTTCTTTTGCCATGACTGAATGCCTTCTACCCCTGCTCAGCCAGATTATTATTGCGCATGTTGAGTTAGAGGATGGGACTGGTTGGTTGAGCTGACCCTCAGGAATTGTCAGAAAAATACCTCTGTCTCAAATACTTGTGTGCTTGGGGGGTAAGATGGTTAAATGCAGTACTATGCCAGTTCCCAAAGACCTTATTATTTTTTTCACTCAACATATGCCTGTTAAGAGTTCTTTCCTTGAGAAACCTGACTTTGAATGGAGGCCAGTGACATTTGACTCTCCAGTTGACACCTGTGAAATGGAGCATGGATATGGAACCCGGTATCGGTGAATTTCAACTGTTGTGGGTGTTGAAGTGCGGGGCCATGTAAGCCTGCTCCTGGAGTGCCAGGTTTTATTTTTTTGGTTCCTTCAGAACTCTTGCTAACGTTGATTTCTAAGCCGTGAGTGCTGGGTTTTTTCAGTATTTAACTATTTAGAAATATACTCCTAATGTTTGATCAGTCTTTTTTATTGTAGCTGAGATGGATTTAAAAAAAAAAAAAAGCTGTCACTGCAACCACACCAGGACCAGAGCTATGTGCACCTGTTCAGGTCAACCATTTCGGTTTTAAAGAGGTAGTGTAATCAGTTGGTATCAAAAACAAAAAGGGTTAAAGTTCTGAGACTGAAACCCCAGCTGAGAAAAACCTTGTAAATGCATATTATCCGTATAGCAGGTGGGGTTGAAGCAATCCCCACAGAGTAAGGGTTACTTGTAAATATTGAACAGCCATGATAGATTATATGAGCAGGTCAATGAATTCTGTACTTTCTCAGAGTATCTGCTGCATTTGCCTGGAGGAGGGGAAAGAAATGCAAGAGAAACTGCAGGAAAACATGTATATTAAAGCATTTCTGAGTCTTTTTAAAATAAAGACTGAAACTATTTAAATGGCGTTTTGGGTTGTTCTTTTCAACTGTCTGCCAGAAACGGATCAAGGAACAGTAACAGATGTGCACCATTTGGTGAACGGACTGCTGGATGTATTTTAAATATGTGCGTAAAGACTTTACAAGTAGCCCCATTAATGGATGTTTTCCAAGTTAATCATGGATTGGTCTTTTTTAAGATCACGTAAATAAGGTCTTATTATAAACTGTGCATTTTTGATGCGTACTGTGTCTGAATATTTCAGAAAATTTGGTCATCTGGGTTCATCTACAAATCAGTTTATTATTTTATCCACAGAGGCACGACCATGGGGTTTTCACATATTGGTCAAGCCCAGGCTAGAGGCAGGCAGACATACACTCCCTAGCAAAAAAAAAAAGTCACCACCTGGATGTTATGTAAATGGGCAGGAGCCTTCCATTGGATAATTACAGTAGTGATAAACATGTTTCAGCAGGCAGCAAGTTACTTAACCCTAACTGATGCTGTGAGTAGCTTCTCATGTCTTAAACAATCATGTCGGAAGAGATATCCTGTGGTCATGGGAAAGATGTTACACTATTTCAGAAGGGCCAAATCATTGCCCTGCGTCAAGCAAAGAAACCAACAAAGGAGATCGCTGAAACTTCTACAATTAGGTTTAGAACTGTCCAAGGCAGCATTAAAACCTGGCAGGACAGTCTGGTAAACCATTTTCTTCGAGGGAGAAATGTCGTTGAAAAAAAAAAATCTTGAATGATCGTGACTGGAGATCACTGAAGCGTTTGGTGAAATCAAATCGTTAAAAAAATCGACAGTAGAACTCGCGACTATGTTTAATAGTGAAAGAGCATTTCCACATGCACACTGTGAAAGAGAACTCGTGGCGTTCGGACTTAACAGCTGTGTGGCCTTAAGAAAACCACTCATCAGTGAGGCTAATCAGAAAAAAAGGGCTTCAATTTGCTGGGAAACATAAAGATTGGACTATGGGGCAATGGAAAAAGGTGATGTGGTCCTTATGAGTCCAGATTTACCCTGTTCCAGAGTGTTGAACGCATCAGGGTAAGAAGAGAAGCAGATGAAGTGATGCACCCATCATGCCTAGTGCCTACCGGCCAATCCTGTGGGGGCAGTGTTTTGATCTGGGGTTGCTATGCTATGTGCCCAAAAATGAGGTCAGCTGACTACCTGAATATTCTGAATGAGCAGGTTTTTCTCCATCAATGGATTTTTTTCCTTCCCTGAGGGCACGGACATATTCCAAGATGACAAAGCCAGGATTCATAGCGCTCAAATCGTGAAAGCGTGGTTCAGGGAGCATGAAACACATGGATTGGCCACCACAAGAGTCCAGACCTTAAACCTCATTGAGAGTCTGTGCGATGTGCTGGTGAGGACTTTGCGCAGCGGTCAAACTCTTATCATCATCATCAACACAGGGTCTTGGCAAAAAATTAATGCAACTCTGCACAAAAATAAATGTTGTGACACTGCATAAGGTGATCAAAATGATGCTACGATGAATAAGTGTCGCAATCAAAGCAGTCCAACGAAATATTAGAGTCTATGACTTTTTTTTTTTTTTGGCAAGACAGTGTACATTTGCATTTTGTTGGAGCCCCAAGGATTATCGCAACCATTTTTGGTTTGTGAGTGGGCATAGTGTGAAATGGTGAAACCTAGGATCAAACCAGGGCCCTTCAGATCTACAGTCTAGCACTCTCTCAAGTGAGCTATTTCAGCATTTACAATGACAAGCTATAGCATTCTCCGTCGTCTCTAAGGTGAAATGTAAAAAAAAAAATGCACTTCAATTTTTCTATTCAGTACATTTTACAACATGCACAGATGAAAAGGCATACATACATCAAGATGGAAAATCGGATAAGCTTCGGCTCCTTACAAATGCTACATATATTTAAAAAATAGAAATTACTCCAGCTAAAATACATAGCTCGTAGGCTACCACTTGTATACTTTGAGATTTAAGTTGGTTTCTTATTTGTAGCTTCTTACTCAGAATTCCCAGTTCACCTTAATTTTTTTTTTCACAAATAGCCTAGCCAATTTTGAAGGCTTAATTCATCATTGGCTACAAGCTATACATATTTTATCATCGAAAAGGGGCATATACTCTGAAAGCAAGGCATTAACTGCCTATGACTGTACATGCACAAGCAACTTGAAAACCTAGCTTCTTTTTGCTTGCGCTGGACATGATGGGGTCCATTTTTACTGGCTTTAATTGCTTTCGACCACTCAAAATACCATTTAATATCACACAAAGGGCCCTGCATGCCCATTTCACCCTGTCACATTTCTACTCAGCACCAAATGCGTTTTTTAGTTGCTGAACTCTGTGCCCAACATGTCAGTTGGATATTTCAGCCTGCAGTTATAAAAGAAAAAACAACCTTGGGCCACATGGTACATGTATTATGTAAACAAAGGCATAAACTTAGTAGAAAGGTGATTTTTCTGTTGGCCAAGTGCACTCTTAAGGCTTAAGAGTGCATTTGAAAACCCAGTTTCTTATTCAAAGCTCCAAACCTTTTAAACTCCAATTATGCCGCAATATGGTGGCAAGTTTTGCAGACTTTAACTGCTTTGGACCATTCAAAATACCACTCAGTATTGCAGAAGGAGTCCTTCCCTTTTCACCCAGTTACATTTGAAGAGTTTGTTTCCAAAACTCAATACATCCATTTTACTCGTTTGAGTAAATCAGCTTTTTCTGCCGGCGCCTATGGCATTCTATAGACAAACACAAACTTAGACATGAAAAAAATACACATTATAGTAATGATTTTCTAAAAATTTTGAACTTTGTGCAATTATGCCGCAATATAGCAACTAATTTTTCAGGATTTAATTGCTTTGGGCAGTCCAAATTCTACTTAAGATTACAGAAGAGGTACTTTCCACCCAGTCACATATTTTTCTAGCTCAAACTGGTTTTCCCTGCCAAATGCAGTGCAGCCAGCTGTGCACTGCTGTACTTTTTAGTAAATGCTGCAGTGGAATCCATTTGGAAAAGCTACTGCATGTTGCCATGTTCGGGAGGTAGTTGTGTTGTTTCCGAAAAGACGATTGAACATATATCTGCCACCTGGCAAAAAACCATCCCACCCCCCCTTTTTAGGTCACTGGCAGTTTGTATGTCTCTCTCCATTGCTGTTTTGCTGTTTTAGGTATTCTCTCTCTGAGGTGCTGTAAATTCACTTCAAATGTTGATATGCTCTTGATGGTGACTGTATCAACAGCGGTCATTCTTTTTTTCTGTAAGTGGGATCTGCTTCAAGTCCCTGTCATTTTAATACAAGTTTCAACTTTTTGCTCTGTTGCAATTCATCCCTGCTCTTTTGCCCAGAGAGTGAAATGGAGTACAACAAAAATGAAAATGCAGAAATCGCTTTTTCTCGTCTGGACCAGGAGGAGTTGGTTCCCAAACGTAAGATTTTTTTTCCTTCATAGATCAGTTCATGGCTTTAAGCAAATGGAACCTTGAGGTGCATATGGCATGTTTCTGTTCAATGCTGTCACAGCTGAAAAGTCAAAACTTAAAGCTTGGCAGGCAAAACTTAGCTGTTACTGTTGCTATTGATTTTGAAGATATTGTTGGGGTTTTTGTAAGTATTTATTTGCTTTTCTATGTATTATCCATGCAAACATACAGACGTAGTATCATTAGTTTATGTTTTTGAAATTGATTGGATGAGGTTTCATATGGTGTATCATGCTGAGTGAATACTTGGTATTCAGTAATGCTGCTTATTTGTCCAAAAATGTAAAGTTTTTTTATTTTGAATTGATAAAATACATACTCGGATCCATTTAAACTGGAATAATTGGGAGACACTTGGTATATGAGATAAATTAGAGTTTTAAATTAATTAAGCTTTATTTGTGGGTACCATAGTGAGCTGAAATGGATAACTAATATTGAAGTCTTTTATTGTAAAATAGATCAATTCAAATCTTCACAAAATCTGCTTGAAATATTAACTTTGTTTCAAACACAAATATTGAAATGTTTCTATAACCAGAGAAATGCATTGCAAAATTCGCTCAACAAAACAACCATACATGTTATAACTCGCACAAGAAGAAACAAACTTAAATTTAATATGAAACAAGAGGTTAAACTGCCTTGGTTTAAAATTTAACCTAATTTAGATCAGAAAACACATTTTGAGCAGCTAAAACATGCGTCGTGTTTTCCTAATTCTGTTGTAGCAAGTTCATTTGGTATTTATTTTGGTAGGATGAGTTCAGACCAAAGTCCAGTTTAAAGAGATGTTTACTGATGAGTTACAGGATAATATTATGCATTTCAATGCCCGCAGGAACTTTTCCTTTGGTCAAAGCAGCAAAGATTTTCCATGCGCCTCATAGAGGGTCCCAAGTCCTATTGGTCATCCTATGCTTTGCCCAGCTGTGTGGACTCATTGCTTTGAGTGTCCTCTGTGAGTATGTGTTCTCATCGGTCTGTATGTGGGCAGCCCTACTCTGAGACATTAACCCTTTCACTACTGCTTACTGGGAATAAGACAACCCTTGCTTACCGTAAATTTTTGTGCTATCACAGCATGATATTGTATGTGGATTTTCATCACCTTTTTCGAACTAAAAACGCCAGAAATGGACAATTTTATGTACAGAAAACATGTTCAAAATACATTTACCTTTCCATTGACACATATCTTTGCTTAGTTTTTCCAAAAGTAAAAACAGAAAATGAGGATAAAAATCGTATTTCGGTTTGTCTAGACAAGACGATTTCTCCTCTATGGGATTTATGTACAAACAGAGATACACGCGCATTTCTGTACAAACGGAGATACACGTGCATTTCTGTACAAACGGAGATACACGTGCATTTGCGTACAAACGGAGATACACGTGCTGCAGCAAGCACTGCCTGCAATGGCGGCTTGCCATATAACCGGAGGATTGGGAACTACGGGAAGCCTGATGACATCACTGACGTGTTGAGCGATACCAGACTCGTCCAAAGGGGTGTTTTGTTGCGGAGCTTTGACCGTTTTTGTGAGGGACTTTCTCTGGGCGCAAAATAGCGACAATGGTAAGTGATGCGGGATCGGCGCTGTCGCGGAAATGCGACAATGGTAATGAAAGGGTTAAAAACATTTCTACTGTTAAACACTAAAAAGCTGCTCGATGAGTTCGTCTGTCACACTGAAACTGGCTCAGTTTTGACAAAACAGTTGCAAACTGTCATTTTATTTACACCCAGCCATAAACTCCATTACAGTCGCTGCTGCTATACCAAACTGCAGTATAGCAATTCTTAGGATTTTTGCAATGCTACACTTCGCTATACAATACAGTACTATTTCAGTATTTTAAGGTGGAATATTACACAAGTCTGTCTGTCATTATGAGGAGGGCAGGATCAACTATTCAGCCTGACACCATTAAACAGAACCATTAAACACCAATACAGTGGGGTCAGGCTCAAGAATTATTGGCACCCCTGACAGGAAATACGCCAGTATATGATATAAAAATACTGACATTACAAAGGTAAACTGAAATGTAAACTTGTTGCCCTTTATTAATGTTCCAAAGGGCCCAATTAATTATTTATTTCATGAGAAATCAGTGCACACCAAACCAAGGTTTCACAATAAGTGGCTTCCCCAAAGATTATTCAATAAAATATAGCAAATTTAATTTGAAATTCAACTTATTTACATTAATTGAAGTTTAACACAACTGTAATAAGTTGTTTCATTGCCTCCTGTTTTACTTGGGTATTAGATTGAGTTAAGGGGTGATCTGGGGTTAAATGGGCAAAATTTGATTATTTTTCCAAAAATTTTTTTTTTGAATAAAAATATTCTATAATAACCCACCTTTAAAAATCACTAATTGTTACAAGGATTAAAAACTGAACTCAACTTTTCAATGCGGTCTAATGCATTTTCCATTGATTTCCTAAGGTATTTTTCCCCGTTCCTCATGTTTGTGGCAGCCATAACTTTTTTATTCATCATTGAAAATCAATTAAATTGGGCTGCAGGTACTTTACTTCATTAGAAATGCAATGACATAGGGAAATTTTGCCTATCTGTTACATACTTTGAATATTTTGAGTATTCGTCAGATTCTGCGCAAAATGATTTCAAAATTTAAGTAAAATGCCCCAAAATCACAAAACTGATAAATTGGGCAAAGAATGACTATTTCATTGCATTTGGATAAGCAATGGCTTTTAAATGATGAAAGAAAAACTGAATTCTATCATAGAGTTAAAGAGGAATTGGTGCCAGAAGTTTTCTGCATATTTAATGAGCTTGCTCGGTTACCATGGCAACCGCATAAACAGAAAAATGCCAACTTGTATCGTTTTTGGTGGTTATTACATATACCTCTTTAGATTAATTCTGAGTCGTTTCCTGGTGTCATTTTTCATTTAACCCCAGATCACCCCTTAACACGCATACAAAATCCCTTTGTCATTCAACACCATAAAGAAAAGAGAGTTCATGAGAGACAGATTGTCAGACCCTTTCATAAACTTGTTAATGACCACCTGAAAATCCACAAATAAACATACCACTGAGCACTGTCAGGACAAGTATTCAAAAATGTAAAAAGAACAGAACTGCAAAAAACCTTGCAGTTTGCAGGACTGCGGGAAAACTGCTTGGCTAATTCTCATGAAACTTGGTTGAAGGGAGCAGCATGGGTCAAGGGAAAAATGCATTAAATTTCAG